CGCTGGCAAAAGCAAGCCCTACTTGGCAGAGCCTGTTCCCACTGAACGTCAAACCCTAGCCCTAAACCCGCCCAAACTCTAAACCCTAAGCCTTATCCCTGAATGCTAGACCCTATTCACAGGCCGTGGACCAGATGACGGTGAAGGTGGGCCGGTTTCTGTGATCACATGCCGTGATGTTGTTCATTGTGCCTCTAAGGTTTGAGGTTTGGGGATTCGGGTTACTTTTAGTCCGAAGCCGTAAACCGTAAACCCAACACCCCTTCCCTTACAGGTTCCGATTTTTTGCTTTAGCTGCAGTTTGCTGGGGCGCACCATCCGATAAACGCCAAGCCCTCCGTTTAGGGCTTTTTGTGCGGCCTGACCACGAGGCTCCTTGAGAGGTATAGAACAAAGTCCAAGCCGAAAGCGTTAAACCCCAAGCCCTCAAACCCCCAAACCCCCAAAGCCCAAACACGGAACCAGACCGAAGACCTGGGGTTCTTGCGTGTTGAGTGTTGTGCCTTTGGGCCTTTAATTTTCCCTGACATACAACTCCGAGCCCCAGAGCCCCACACCCCAAACCACAACTCCTACTCTGCATTTTTTCGTCAAGCGACGTCGACCTGGCCGGCGTTTTTGCTCCGTGGCCCAGGTGAAGGACGAGCAGTTCGCCTTCGACGCCGTCTTCACTCCTGGCACACAGGCCCACGAGATGCAAACATCTCTGATAGGAAGAAGCGCCACTACGATCATCATCATTACTAGCCTTACTCACAGTTTGCAAACAAACGAGTGTTGCACATACAGTACCGACATAAAACGTGATGGCCCGGCAAGGCATTCACTATCAGCTGTGCTGGTTTGCAGAAGCACCGTACCGCTGTCATGTCGCTACCGCAGCTCTTCTGCCGGCTCCGTCGCCCGCCGCTCCTCCTCCTCCTCCACCTCCTCCTCCTCCTGCTCCTAGTACTACTGACTAGTACGACTGACTAGTACTACTGACTAGTACTAGTACTCGTACTACAACAGCCACCACAACTGCTACTCCTCCTCCTCCTACTCCGAATACGGCTACGGCTACTGCTGCTGCTATAGCTACCGTTGCTGCTACTGCTACTGCTGCTGCTGCTGCTACTACTTTTAGGACGACTACTGTACTACTGCTGCTGCTGCTGATGCTGGGGCCACTGCGATTACTGCTTACAGTATGTTTTATTATACTACTACCTGTAAGGAGCTTGGCATCGTTTTCCATGCAATGCAATGACAATGCTCGGGATCATTGACATGGCCGTCATTCACCACAATCACTTGAATCATCGTTCTCGCCTCGGATGAGTTTACGACGGAAACGATACCGGTTTTACACATGATTGCATCGAGATTGACTGGATGCCATGTGAGTTTCCTGTTTGAGTCTTGCCGAGTTCACCATTCTTTTTATGTCCATCTCGACTGCTGTAGAGGTAGTAGTTGTTGTGATCTCTCTTTGGGTGCCTCATGTGCTGCTGCCGCCGCGGCGAATATTGCCGCGGCTGCTGCTGCTGCTGCTGCTGCCGCCGCCTCTGCTGCTGCTCTGCTGCTGCTCTGCTGCTACTCTGCTGCTGTTGGCGTGTTTGTTGTTGTGGTTGCAGTTCCCGCAGTCATCGTTGTCATTACAGAAGTGCCTCTCACGTTTTTTTATACTAGTTTACGACCCAGTTTAACCTCGATGGTCAACTTCAAGGTGCAGAGATTGTCAGCCCAATGCCGTGGTCGCTGAAAGCACTTATACGCTTGGCAAAGGAACTGCACAACGGTGCTGCGATGTTTTAGAAAACTGCTCTTGCACAGGGGTAGTGCGAATTTCAGCATTATAACCGTCTGCTTTTCTTGATGGCTTGCGCCAGCCCAGCACGTGAACCTTATATTCGGCCCGAGACTCAACAGCCTAGACAAGGACGTCTCTCCTCGCTATACCTCGACAGGAGGAGGTTTTCGAAGATTGCCGTGACCTCGTGCAGTCGGCAGCCGATGGCACGGAACCCAGCTGTTGACGCTGATCATGGGTTCAGGGTTTAGGGTTTAGGGTTGAGGACAATTGCTTTTCCTCGCGATTTGTTGGGGTGAAGAGAAACCAAGCAATGAGTAGGAGGACAGGCTTCATAGTGCAAGGCACCCCAACCAAAGGACCCTCTTTATTTTGAGAAAGCCACCCGATTCTCAAGAGGAGGCAGGCGGATCCTTCCAGTCGTGCTCCGGGACCCGAGCTGAACACTCCAAACATCAAACCTATCACTCTCCACTGTGCATCCGAAACCCTCCTAGAAGGATCACGGGACATAGTCAGCAGCTTAGGATCAGGGTTGGACATACCAGAAATTTGGGCTTGTACTTCTATCCCTACCAATACCCCGCCAGGTCTTCAAAGGTATCTTTAAAGAGATGTGGGAGTTTCCGAAAATTAGGGCACCCTATTTTGGGGTCCTTATAATAAGGATCCTAGGGTCCCCTATTTTCTGAAACCCCCATGTTGTCAGCCCGAGGACTGCTAGCCTCCCGTGTGATTCTCAGGATTGAGATTTCGGGTATGTGCTGTAAAGGCGCTGAGGCCTAACAGCCTGAAGACCCCCCCCCCCCCAGAGCTCCATCATCAGAGGGCGAACCTCGACACCTGTAGAGGATCCATTAAGTGGGTAAGTACGGCACCACTTTAACCTCTGAATCCGTAAACCCCAAGCTTAAACTAGACAATGAAACTCGCAACTCTAAGCCCTTAAACTCTGAAAGTGCCCATTCAATCCTGAAAAGTCCTGTTGCAGGCTACAACGTGACAATGTTCGCGTGGCCCTGGCTTGCTTCTGCTCCCGAATCCTCAGAGCTTCCGGGCCCGGGCTTCGGGAAGTTCAACCCAAAAGGGGTTTAGGGTTTAGGGTTAAGGGACACCGGAAAACAGCCCGAGAGAACAAAAAGAAAAAGACTGAGGGTATATAAACCCCGAGGCTTTACAACCGAAAACCCCCCCAAAAGGCGCAAAACTCTTGGGGAGATCCCGGGTTCAGGTCCGAGGTCCAGTGCGGAATCTGTGAAAAAGCCGCCCATATCTGAATTCGGGGTTTGGCGAGTTTAGTCTTAGGGCCTTTGGGTTTTGGGGTTATAGGGCTTTGGGCTTGGAGAGAGCAAGCGCGCTTTGCGGCTGCAGTGCTTCGGATTCAGAGTGGGTGTTAGGACGTGTAACCCAGAGACTCCAATACCCCTTAATTAAGGAATATGCCTTAAATCTTATTAGGGATCCTACTATAATTTAAGGTATATTCCTTAATTAAGGGGTATTGGAGTCTCTGGGAATGTGTTTAGCTCTGAAGCCAGATACTCCCTTGCTCTCCTCAAACCGAAGCGACTAATGCAGGGGCCTAAACAATTACCACAGAGAGCGAGGGGGGCATCACCTGAGGCTGAGGAGGTTTATTAGACTGTGTTGTCTTTGAAAGTGCACACTCAATGAGTGAGCCTTCCTTCGACTTCTTGCGAGAGAAAGGGGGCTATTGCATTTAAAAAACAATTACCAATACTATTTTGGGGGTTCCATGCTTTTTGATTCTCTTTGTGGTGATGCACGTCACCGGCATGTTTCGATCACTGCTATGGCTCAAAATCGCGCTGTTGTGATTATTGTCATTGCTGAAAGTTCGATGGGCGCAATTTCGGCTATGACCATGTTTACATGTTGGCTGTTACCATTACTTCTCCTCGTGTTGTTATTCGCATTTTCTTTTCATGTTTTTCTTTCCGAGCACAGCAACTCCTATTGGAGGACCGAGGCTAGGTTATACGGTCGATCAAACGTAGAGGTCTGAAAGATTAGTCATTCTGTCCCCCCCGTGGCCCCATGTAACTACACTAATTACGTGATTTTCCGAACCGTGCTTCGAAGCATTGAGGCCTTTGTACTCACACCCTAGCCGGCTCCAGGTACGGTCAGACCGGGGCGGGCAAGACCTTCACGATGTACGGCACGAAAGGTGCAGACAGCACGTTTGGATTTGAAGCTCTTTACAGGGCACAGAGTTTCAGGTTGAGGGTTTAGGGTGAAGGGCAAGTCAGGTACAGGGATGTCCTGTCCGGTGTCTGCCATGGAAGATGTCTGAAGGTTCCATGAAGGTGTGTCACACTGTAGAGTTTGCAGGTACTTGAATGTAGGAGCTCGCAGCGCTGCCAATTAGTTGGAGGGGGTGGGGGTGGTGGGGGTTTCTGGCCAGGTATGGACATGGGCCATGCTACCAACGAGTTGATTTTAATTCAGATAGCATCACCTGCCAGTCTGAAAGCAGTCGAGCCACTAACCCCCTAATCCCCTACCCCGAGCATTGAGAGCGGAGCCTTCCAACTGATCCAAGTCAGAGACCTATGAGAACAATGTGCCCTATCCTTCAATGGCTTGCAGAGCCATCACCTGCCGTTTTTACGGCCTGGAACGACCGGGAGGGATGCTTCAAAACAAGCAGATGCTGAGCACTAGAACTCAGCCCTGAGCCCTAGAAGCCCTAAACCCACAGCCCTCAATTCGAACTAAGCCTTAGAGCCTAGGCCCAGAGCCAGACCCAAATCGAAGCCGAGTTCGATCTGCGCCTCCTGTTCTTGAGCACCAGTGATCGGAGGGAGACTCAGAGAGCGAGAGAGAGAGAGAGAGAGAGAGAATGGGACTCAGAGAGAGAGAGAGAGAGAGAGACGAGGGGGCTTGCCCCTCTTGCCCCTAGCCCTGGCGAAAGAAAGAGCGGGGGAGAGAGTGAGTGAGAGGTGATTCGACACACTGAGCCACGGCTGCCACCAGCATTCACCATGAGTGGTTTTGCACAGGTTCGGTCGGATACTTCATCCACTGCACCTAAATAAGCCATGAGACTCAAACCCCCAACCAACAAACGCGGAGCTTCAGAGGCTGTCGGACCTTTGGTTGAAGCTCTTCTTGGCCTTACTTCAAGGGCTTTGTCCTCAGGGTTTAAAACGCTGTTGCTGCTAGTTCTGTTATTGCCCTTAGCATGCGGCTGCTGATTGCCTTCGCCTTTATCTCCGCCGCTTGCGGCGGCTGGATCGAGGATGAGGCCTGCAAGACGGCAGTGTCTTCGCTTCCGTTCGCTGCTTACCTCAGGCAACATCTAAGATTGCACATATGGGGAAGCTTCAGGAAAGAGGGATTCCCAAATCTGTTTCGTTGGGTTCCGTAATACAAGTATACTACGATAAAACGATGCTATGCCCCTCCAAAACGTATTGTTATGCTTCAGGCCCGTATAGAAGGGTCGGTGGATACCTTAACCTACCAAAACCTACTTTTTTGTACTGTCCCTATAAATTCCATATTAGTGTTTATAATAAGAACCCACAAAAAAGTAGGTTTTGGTAGGTTAAGGTAGTTTGCAGAGGTCAGACTTGCGGGTTTTCTCGGAAGGCCTTGTACTCACAATGCGGAGGGGGTGAGTTCCCTGGAGCTTTTTCGGGAGCTCCCTGGCCTCAGCCGTTTTGGGCTTTGGGGTTGAAGAAAAAAACGCCAGTGGCTTAGAGAGGCCGGGATGAGTTTGAGAGATTCTCATGTTTGACCAATCGCGCCTGAAAGCACCCCAGAGCCCAAGCAACTGCACTTGTGTTAAGGGTCCTAGCAGAAGAATCTTGACTTCTGGTCGTCGCCCCTGAACTCCTAAACCCTGGAGAAGGCTCTGCGCCTTCGCACCAGCGGGAGAGTCGCTGCCAAGCCTCGGCGTTTGACTGTGAACTTGGACGCAGAACCGAAATCGAGGTGCCTTTCTGGGACCCTTTGTGCGTTGCTTCCAGGAGCCCTTGAAGGAGCCCTTAAAGCAACCCGAAACCCTATATATATATATATATAATATACATATATATATATATATGTATGTATATATATATATATATTACCCTATATGTCATCACCCTGAGCATCCGGCAGCGGAGTTCAAAGTTCAGGATTTCGTTTGGGATGTGAGGCTCCAGGGTTGAGGGTTTGGTTTGTGGTTGAGGCCCTCTTCCGGTTGAGATTAGGACTTCGAGCCCAGTGTATAGCAAGTACATATAATCCTAAAAACTCTAAGTCTGAAGCCACATAAAACCCTCAGCCCTAAACCTAAACGACACACCAGTAAGTCGAAAAGGAGGGCAGAAAAAACAAGCGCCGGCAGGTGGAGCTTTCTGGCGAAGGAGCCTGGCTTCGAAGATTACCGGTCCAAGGCTACAGGCTACCTGGAGCGACTTGGCCACACATCCTTTGGGTTTAGGGTTTAGGGTTCAGCGGTCTAGGGTGCCTCGAAGGGTTCTCCCGTGGTGAGATGTCTTCTGTTGAGTCTGTTGAGGTGTCGAGGAACCGGCAGACTATGTTAGACAGCTTCATACTTTTCGGCGTTCTCTGAGTTCTTCGAGCCGTCTGTTCTGGATTTATGCTTGGTGTTTTCAACACTGCCCCAGAGTCCCGAACCCCTTAACCCTCTTGAAGATTCAAGCTTAGCAAGACAGCTACAAGGAAAGCGCCTACAGAAGTATAAGAGCTCTCCGCAGTCTACCTCCTGAGGCACGTTTGCAGAGGAAGTTAGCTGGGCCCGAAACCCTAAACCCTAAACCCTAAACCCTAAAGCCTAAACCCTAAACCCTAAGTTGAACCCCGTAGCCCTAAACCCCCAGCCGCCCAGGAAGTACATCCCGGCGAGTCTGCTTCCCATCGTGAACCGCATCGCCGAGAGCCTGGAATCCGCGCACCTTGACCCCCAATTATGTGGGTAGTTGTCAAAATTATGGCCCCTTTTGGGGTACCCGAAACAATAGGCGCCGTATTATGATAAGGACCCAAAAAGGGACCATAATTTTGACAACCACCCATGTGGGGTGTCTTTGCGATCAGCTCCTGTCTCAGATTCCTCAAACCTTGGATGTCGGTTTGATATTGGACAAGGGTTTCAGGGTTTGGGATTACCACCATTCCAAACGTAGTGTTACCAGTGATGCAAGTAAGAAGCCCCGAAACATCTCGACGGCTTGATATAGGGGCCTAAATAATTATCTATACTATTTTGGGGGCTCCTTATCACAATTATAGTACAATATACACCAAAACCCTATTCTAATTATTAAGGCCCCTACATTACATGATTTTTTTGCCTATCGCACACCCCCTGTGTCCATCCGGCTTCCCTCTTCCCACCTGCACCCTGTGCCTGTTCGGCTTAAGGCCTCTTGGTTTCTTTCAGCCATCTACTTAAACCCTAAACCTAAACCCTAAGCCACTAAACCTAAATCTGTCAACTACAAGTCCTACAGTAGTCCTACAGACCCTAAACCCTAAATCCTAAACCTAAAGCGGCATCTACCTTTAAGACCTTAGCTCGAATTCGGAAGCCTTAAACCTCCTAGCAATTGCGAAGCCCCTCTACGGCATGCCGCAAGAGACGCCCCGGAACATCCCTGAAGCACCTGATTTCGCAAGATTCCGTCGATGTAGAATACGGCTCCTATAGTATTGAGTTGAAGACAGAGATGCTTAATTTAAGGGATGATGTAAGCTCGTAGCAGGTACTACGAGGACTACGCCCACGAGATGCAGGGACTTGCTGCTGCCCTGAACCTCTCCGTCGGGGAGATCGCCGCCCGGCGGCGCGGGAGCGCTGATCCCTCCAAGCCCTAACCTGGAAACATCGGGCCCATGAACCCAAAAGCCCCCAACCCTAAACCCATCTCCAAGAAACCTAGGCCTTCTTACAGCCTCAATATTAGTACTATTATTACAACTATCAAAATTAGTATTATTGTTATTATTATTGTCATCAGTATGATTCGTATTATTACTATTAGTACTATTATTACTTAATCAACGCAACCCCAAACCCTCTATATCTATACATATATATATATATAACCCTAATATAAACCCTATAAGCCCTAAACCCTATAAACCCTGAACCCTCAAACCCTTTGGAGTTAACTGTCCAGGGCCAGGCCTGTTTTGCCGAGACCCCATACTCGGGGTTTAGGGCGTAGGGTTTAGAGTTTAAA